TTAATAGTTCTAACGCTCGAAGTGGAGTCGAAAGAGATGAGTTTTCAGTTTGCGCCGGAAGATGTGCAAGCTATCTGCCGTCCTGATGTCAATGGGGAGCTCATTCCACCATCTTGGAGCCAGGACAGCAAACCCACGTGTTTTTGCCGATGGGAACTTAGGTCCCCCTCGCAGCGAGGGCGCAGCGAGTCGTTTGGCTGATGCAGAGCGTAGTGCTTTACCTATGAGGGGCCGTGTAGGCCAAAATTCAAACTCACCTCACACACACACTACTGAAAACATCTGGCCTTGCACACACACTACTGAAATACTCTCACATTCACTACTGAACACCTCACACACACACTACTGAAAATTAAGCCTCACACACACACTATTGAAATCCTCTCACATTCACTACTGAACACCTCACACACACTACTGAAAATTAAGCCTCACACACACACTACTGAAAACATCTGGCCTTGCACACACACTACTGAAATCCTCTCACATTCACTACTGAACACCTCACACACACAATACTGAAAATTAATCTCACACACACACTCCTGAAAAGCATTTTACTGAAAGGTTCTCAGTAGGGAATGTGCATGTGTTTCACCTATGTGTGTGTGAGGGGATTCTTGCTGTAACGGAAGTCATTCTAATGTAACGGAAGTCATCTGCTAGTGGTCTCTTTGCTAGCCCCGTTAGCTTCATTAGCTCCAGGCTACTACTCGGACGTGTTTGTTGTGTTGATGCCTGGTGGAGTATTCTTCATTGAAATATCGCACTTATCTTATGGCTCTGCGGTTCAAACAGACCGTCTATGAATGCAGTTTATTCGGTAAGTGAAATTCAAGCACTTTATTTCTTACTTGTCTTTTTATTCAGCTAACAAGCGAGACGAAGCTACATCTGTGCTAACGATGCTATCCGTAGCATACAAGTTAAAACATAATGGAGAAGTGTAAAACATTAAGAAGGATTATACTGTAAAACATAAGGCTTCTCGGTGAGGTTGGTAAAATAAGGTCATGCTTGTACATTAGTTATATTTGCTAGTTAGGTAACTGCATTGTTATTGTTAATTTAAAATAGCTATGCTCGACGATGCAGACAGCTAGCGTCACATTAGTGTTGAAGAGCAGAGTACGAGATTAACCCATAGATTAACCTCACTATAAGATCTGTGTATCTGAAAAATATGAATCTCACATTTCCAGTTGGTTCCAGAAATAACGTTGACGTAGATATTGCAATATGGTTTGTTGAGCTGGAGTTGATTGTTGAAGCTTACTGGTTAACGTTCATCATATTAAACGAACGAACCCAAACGTTGTTGTTTTTATTAATATTATTACCAATACTTACTTAGCATTTTATTATCATTACACTGGAGAAACCGATTTATTGTGGCAGCAGAACGTGAACATGTAACTTAATGCCTGCATTTGAGGACGAAAAATAGCTCAGTCAATGCTTTAGGGACAAGGAAATGATTTGTTTAAATATTAGATATGACGTTATGTGTGCTTCTGTGACAATGAAGCTTATTCATTGCATTACATTTGTTGAAGATGTTTGTCTTTTACCCTTACGTGTGTGTTACAAATGAATGTGAATATGGCATAGTACAAATATTTAAATTGACTGTCTCATGAAAAACGATTCTAAAATAAAAAGGACCCCAAAGTGAGTCAACAAAACTTTCAATAATAATCTAAGGTATTGAGTTTTGGGATGTTACTTGCATACAAATCTATAAATGCCTTAAGGTTTCTAAAACATACAATATGTGGTAAATTCAACAGTGGATCCAGCAAAGATTCACATTTTTGCATGATTTGTTATTGATTTGTTGCTGTTACTTAATTTTAATAAATTCAAGTCAAGCTTAGTTACATGTGATGGTAGCTATATGCTCTTACCTGTGTGCCTCCTCCGCAACCAGACTGTATTCAAACTCTTAAGTACCAGTTCTATCTACTTTAAACAATTAAAAAGACAAAATCAACTACATTTATTGATATACCAATCTTTATTTTTGGGGCCTCTTCTTCTTTTAAATTAAACTTTCAGACATGAGATATTGAAATACAGTAATAGTTTTGTCTATTTAAAAAAGAATGAGCCATTCCTTACAGTTAACTTCATATTTCTTATTGTCTAAAGCATTTATGACACACATTTCCCCCTCATATTCACAGTGTGGATCAATTGAGACAGCGTGCAGAGACTTTGGGAGAAACCTCAGCATGACGGATGTCCTGTCTGTGGGTTTGGCTGGAGAGGACTGAGGTGGAGAGGTCTTTCTCTGGGAGGAGGCCCAGGCCTGATGAAGAAACCCCCTAACTGCATCTGTGAGCACATACTAGGCTCAGCTGTCACAAACAAATGATGGTCCTGTTTGACTTTGTGTTCACAATAAAAGTGTAGTTTCTTAGTGAATGTCCTGTATTGGTCTTTAATCTGAAATCAGCTTTTCATTTTCTTCTTGTCCCTCTGAGAAAACGGTGAGGCAGTTGTGTCCTTCAGGTATGTCCTTTCCTAACAGAAATGACAAGAAACATATGACATTATTGCAGAGCAAGTGTGTTATTTATGAAAGGTTTGTTTATTTAGCGGCTGTAGAAATAATGTATTTTTTTAATTCATCACTTTGTACTACAAAGATAATCAGATTATGAATGAACAGTCTGCAGTTAATCAACATTAAAATATCTTATTATTAAATAATATTCAACTGCTCGGTTGTCTCACTGCAAGAACCACTTTTACCACGTCTTTTACAGACAATATGTAGAGACAAATGGTAGCAATTCTCACAATGTAAAATGATAATTGCCTTAAATACATTGAAATGTGAAAGCTGATTATAGTTGTTACTTTATCTATTTAAACCAGAACGTTTCTCGATTCTTTGTACAGTATGAAAGGAGTCTTTGTACCTTTGAGTCCATGCTGAAGTTCACTGATGTTAGGAATAGGTCTGTCTCTCGTGGTCAGCATCCTCTGGTCTGTCTGCATCACCTGGAAACTTTAAACAAACAGATGTATATGTAAAGTAACAATGTGTTGGTTACAGACTTGTTTTTACATGCAAATGTCATGTGATAATCTTTTTGTTATCCTTAAAAAAAAGTGCTGGATATCAAAGCCCACACACACGTAAGGGTAAAAGACAAACATCTTCAACAAATGTAATCATTTCCTTGTCCCTAAAGCATTGACTGAGCTATTTTTCGTCCTCAAATGCAGGCATTAAGTTACATGTTCACGTTCTGCTGCCACAATAAATCGGTTTCTCCAGTGTAATGATAATAAAATGCTAAGTAAGTATTGGTAATAATATTAATAAAAACAACAACGTTTGGGTTCGTTCGTTTAATATGATGAACGTTAACCAGTAAGCTTCAACAATCAACTCCAGCTCAACAAACCATATTGCAATATCTACGTTAACGTTATTTCTGGAACCAACTGGAAATGTGAGATTCATATTTTTCAGATACACAGATTTTATAGTGAGGTTAATCTATGGGTTAATCTCATACTCTGCTCTTCAACACTAATGTGACGCAAGCTGTCTGCATCGTCGAGCATAGCTATTTTAAATTAACAATAACAATGCAGTTACCTAACTAGCAAACTAACTAATGTACAAGCATGACCTTATTTTACCAACCTCACCGAGAAGCCTTATGTTTTACAGTATAATCCTTCTTAATGTTTTACACTTCTCCATTATGTTTTAACTTGTATGCTACGGATAGCATCGTTAGCACAGATGTAGCTTCGTCTCGCTTGTTAGCTGAATAAAAAGACAAGTAAGAAATAAAGTGCTTGAATTTCACTTACCGAATAAACTGCATTCATAGACGGTCTGTTTGAACCGCAGAGCCATAAGATAAGTGCGATATTTCAATGAAGAATACTCCACCAGGCATCAACACAACAAACACGTCCGAGTAGTAGCCTGGAGCTAATGAAGCTAACGGGGCTAGCAAAGAGACCACTAGCAGATTACTTCCGTTACATTAGAATGACTTCCGTTACAGCAAGAATCCCCTCACACACACATAGGTGAAACACATGCACATTCCCTACTGAGAACCTTTCAGTAAAATGTTTTTCAGTAGTGTGTGTGTGAGGTTAATTTTCAGTAGTGTGTGTGCGAGGTGTTCAGTAATGAATGTGAGAGGATTTCAATAGTGTGTGTATGACGTTAATTTTCAGTAGCGTGTGTGTGAGTTGTTCAGTAGTGAATGTGAGAGTATTTCAGTAGTATGTGTGCAAGGCCAGATGTTTTCAGTAGTGTGTGTGTGAGGATTCAGTAGTATGTGTGCAAGGCCAGATGTTTTCAGTAGTGTGTGTGTGAGGTGTTCAGTAGTGAATGTGAGAGTATTTCAGTAGTGTGTGTGCAAGGCCAGATGTTTTCAGTAGTGTGTGTGTGAGGTGTTCAGTAGTGAATGTGAGAGGATTTCAGTAGTGTGTGTGCAAGGCCAGATGTTTTCAGTAGTGTGTGTGTGAGGTGTTCAGTAGTGAATGTGAGAGTATTTCAGTAGTGTGTGTGCAAGGCCAGATGTTTTCAGTAGTGTGTGTGCGAGGTGAGTTTGAATTTTGGCCTACACGGCCCTTCATATTTACCTCTGATTGGTTGGCCACCCCTGCCCTATTGGATCACTGCCTATACCAGAGATAATTGTGCTAAGATGCAAGTCAACAGAATAGCTTCCCTTTGCTATCTCCAGGTACCACAAGAGTATTTGTAACTGTGGATACCCTGTAAAAGATTCCCGTTAAAGGAGGAGGCAAGAAGGTGAAAAAGGAGTAATACAAAACTTACTTTTAATATATAGAAGTGCAATTGAGATGTCAAAAGTAAATCTAAATACAATATCCTTGAAGATTTGGTGAGGCTTTGATTCATGTTGGATGAATGAGGTGCTGCAATTATTTCTAGCAGTAAATATAATTTATTTATACGTTTAAAACTGCTATTTCCCATATTATAGGGCAGGAGAACATATAACGCAAACAACCAAAACAAAAAGGTAATTTGATATTTTTTATACATCCAAAAATATATTTACAGATTTCACATTCAGCTCTCTGTATATAATGTGTCTTATGTCTTGTGTTTAATAATCTGTCTCATGGTCGAAATAAGAGGTAATATGATTGTGTTGATGACATGGTTTATTTTTAAAATACAGTTTCACATTTTAACTGCAAAGTGAATGTTCAAAGCTTCATGCAGAACAATTTGCAGCTGATAAATAAAGTATAAAAAAAACATGTTAACATTTAGTAGCAAGATCAATGTCAGTCCTTTCAGTGTCAGCGCCCCTGTTCTTGTAATTCAGCTTGTTGAAATCCTCCATAATCTCTACCATTGTCTTTCCTTTGGTCTCTGGGACAAAATATAACAGGAACGCTGCACTGCAAATGCTGTAAGCAACGAAAATCAGGAAGCAGAACTGTCCTAGTGCATCCTGTTGGATACACAAAAAACATAGTCAAAATAGAGATATAATATATATTAATTATTTGAAATAACAAATGATACATAGTAGGTTTCTCACCACAATGTAGCCGAACAACATCGCCACGAGGAACATGCTAATCCAGTTGACAGTCCCACTGATCACATAAGCAGAAGGACGCCATGCTTGTAGGAAGAGGTCAGCAGGAAGAGCCATAGACACTCCAGCTTAAATAAGATAAAAGAAACATTTATAAAAACAATATTTAAAAGCTTTTTCTCAGGAGGAGAACTGGTAACAGGAAACTTACATGGTCCAAGTCCATAAATGCAGATGACACAGAATATCAGGCCGATGTTCACATAGGGGATCCAGGGATTCAGATCCTGTAGGAAAAGAGAAAGAAATATACATTTGATGTTCTACAAAACATTTAATTTGGAGAAATGTGCACTGTTATAGTGCTTGTACCTTGATGGACAGCATGACAGTGAGTACACACATGGTGATACCCATCAGTAGATAGCCGTAGCCCATCAGCTTCTTTCTGCCTGCACGGTCTATCAAGAAGGACTGAGACACAACAGAAAGTCAATAAAGTATTGTATTTCTACAGTTATCTTAATATAATACATTCTAACTTATAAAGTTTTTCAAGTGATGTACACATGTGGAACCTCAACATATAGAAAGAAAAGGCCCAAAATAATGCACAGAATATTTTTCCTCCAGTAGAAAAGAATATTTATTTTTTTCCATTATCCTCTTGTCAGATCATGTGTACACTACATTATAGGAAACGTTCATAACCTAAAAACGTTTTTCGCGTGTCCATATTAAAACCTGGATTATTTTAACATCCTTCATGTGTCAGTGTATTTTCATGAGTCAGTTTCATTCTCCTTTGAAGAGATACTCACACACAGTGTCACTGTGAAGAGCTCTGTGGCTCCAAGGCCAATGGCCAAGTAATGCATCTGGTTCTCAGGCACTCCAGACTCACGGAAGATGTCAAAGGCGTAAAAATACAGCTGGAGGAGAGAAAGAAATATGAGAGGCCATTAACCGGATCAAGCTGTGTGTGAAAAAGAGATGCCAATGTATTTGTTAGGGGGAAAGCTGAGCTGAACATACAGCGTTGATGCCGCAGAACTGAACCCCGGCACAGGGGATGATGAGAGTCAGAAGCTGCCATCTCACACAGCGAGAGCAGAGGACATCCTTCACAGTCTTCGCCTTCTCTCCCTGAGTGCTCTCTCTCTCTTTCTTCATGTCGTCCAGCTCCAGTTTTAAGTCGTCCTCCTGCCACAGCCACTGCAAAGCTTTCACATAAACACACATCACGCATCATGCTAGAGTTTTAATACTGTGACTAAAACTACTAAACCTGTCTGTGCTTGACATGTTGGACAGTTCACCCAAAGAAAGAACAAATGTTCACACATCTGCCCTGGGTTGCTACTTATTAATGTAGATAGAACTAGTGCAAGTGGCTAGTTGTAGTAGTTGGGATATCTGCTATAGTAATAATGGGAATAAGAAGCACTTGTTTGTGGTGGTCAAAGTGCAAAAACAGTTAATTTGAAAAACACAACAGCAATATCTCTTTCCAGGAATCATGACCCAAGATAATTAACAGACCTTGTTTTGAGCTGTTTCATGTAGGAAGAGTTTGCAAATATTATTAGCAACATTCATTCATGCCACGATTTTTTTTTGCTACCATGGTTTCAACTCTATTACAGCGTTCAACAACACATCCTTGAATGCAACAGGATGTGTTTGTGGCTGTTTTTTTATTTATTTGGATGAGGCAATGGATGAAAGCTCAGTTCACTGTGTCTAAACTTTAAAGGGTATCAGTAAACTTTAGAATCCAGAATGGACACAGAGTCCACTCACCTTTTATGCTGCCTTCAGTGTCTCCTTTGTCAATGTAAAGGTATCTGGGTGACTCAGGGAAGAAAAGCAGCGTCACAAGCTGCAGGATGGCAGGAATACCACTGACAGCTAAGAGGTATGGCCACATGTCTTCTGTTCCCATTATCTCCCTAAACAGTGAATAACAAAGGAAATCTGTTAAGTAGCAGGAAAAAGGAAATACTGTAGATATTCGAATTGGCCCTTACGTTACAGAAATTAAGATAGCTTACTACATCACTTTTGCTGTTCTAATGCTGACTAATTATTAAAACAAAGTTGAAAAGTTATTGCGCTTTAGTCCGTTAATGAACAACTCATGGCATTTGACTGCGTAGGCAAATTTTTTATATAGGTATTCATTTTCTTTCTTTCTTGAAAATATGTTTTTCTCATAAATATTAGAGTACCATAAATCAGTTCTTACTTGATGCCAATTATTTGACCAATGACCTTTCCAAATCCAATGAATATTGAGCCTGTGAGAGTCATGAAACCCCTGAGTTTCTTTGGAGAACTCTCTCCGAGGTACATGAGGTGCACACTCAAGCCAAGACCTGTGGGGAGAGACAAGGAGAAAATAGCTATAAAACAATCTGACCAAAAATGCCAACTATACTTTTGATTCAATTAAAAGAGTAGGTCAAATAAATGAAAACTCTTGTAATAATTGTTCCCATTATGCCTGACACTCTTTCTCATAATCAGAACATACCAACATTATATCCGTAGAGGAATCTGCCCAGCAAGATCATCTCAAAAGACTTGGCCATTCGACTGAAGAGCATGAGAATGGCAGCCACAATCGCCACTACATTGTTGAACAAGAGAGCTTTTTTCCTGCAAAAACAAAAGAAACAATAAAGATTGGTAACTTATGTCACTGCTGACATAAGTTACCTTATGTGTGGCCAAATCTGGTCTGGTTAGCATATTCATGTAGCTTTTGCACAGAGCAAACTACATTTTCAACTTTTGTAGCTGAAGAAGTGTGATTCTGGGCAATTGTATCGTGTATAAATAGATTCAGTGGAAGAACAATCCAGAACTTTTATTAAGACTGCCACTCAGTCACTTTAAGATGCAATTTATTTTTTGATTGTATGTTGTACTGTGTATGGTGAGTGTTGTTTTATCAAAATGTGTCAGTACCAAACACACATTTCTGAATCTAATTGTCTTATTAAACATGAACCTGAATGTTGGCCAACTCTTTCTTTTGGCTCTCTGAGTCAGAGAGGTTTTAAAACCAGACATTTTAGCAAACATTCTGACGATCTATCTCACCCAACAGATGTCTTTCAGATAATATAATTGTATAAAAGTGTGTATCTCTATACCTGCCGTAAGTGACGGGAATGCTGCCGCTGTGAACGGCCCCGGCCACGGCCCCAAGACTCAACACGGCCACGATGAAGGACCAGATGAGCTGGTTGGAGGAGTCATCCACTGGAGCTCCGTACCTCCACAACCAGGTGTGGTTCACAAAACTCTGAACATGCTGCAGAAAGGTCAGAAAGGTCAGGGGACATGTTAAGGTGGTCTACTGATCAACCCTGTTTAAAAAAAAAATGCAATTTACAGTAAAAATAAGATTAAAAATACCATCATTTTTCTAATACAATTGCAACACTGAGTTAACGTTTCCGTAACCACAACAACAACAAAAAAACGAATATAAATCTTACCACTGCTGGAGAAGCGATGACAGAAACTTGAATCCCATACTGAAACGATCCCCCAATTCCCAACACCATCGACAGCAGATAAAGTCTCCAGTACTGAAGCTAAAACGGTAAATGGAAAATCATATATACAAATTAACCTCCTCTGTTTTTCAACTCGACAACTATAACTGTATTGATTTATCAAGACATATAAATGATGTATGAAATATAATGAGTAGGTATAGATTAAAATACTCAAACTTTATTCAACATGTTACGGTCACTTTCACCTTGACCAACTAGTGTCTTATGTGATATGTAAATGAACACTAAGAGAGATAAAATGTACTCTTTCATGATTTGTTTACTGTTGATAATTCAAGTAAATGTGTGCTTACTAGGTAAAATATTAGGACTTTTACTATTATGTTGCCGTGTTATTACTTTTACTTTATTAAATAATCTGAATGCTTCCTTCACCACTGCATGTAAGTGCACATTATTGCTATATACATTATTGTAATGAATGATATATAATTTAAAAAACAAATTAAATTGCATGTATTTAGTAATACTGTGGATTACAGGCAAAAATAATCTTAATTCACAAACAGCGCTGAAATCTAAGAAAATGCACCTACCTTTCCTGATGCATCTTCCATCTTTAGTGCTGGCTCCCTGGATGTTGGCTACAGGACAGAGCATGAGAGGACCAGGTTATATACAGTATGGAAGTCAAGTTACACATAAACTCTGGTTGTCCATTCAGGATGTTAGATCAACATTGTCTTGTTCATGACGTGTGCGATAGGGATGAGCAGACGCTGAACTAGATCCTCCTGGCATGTCTGTGATTGTTATAAGAAATATTTTCTCGAAAGTTTAGGCTTTAGTGGGAGGGGATTTTGTTGGAGGACAGAAGTCCAAGTCTGGGCCAGATTATAGGTGTGGGTCTATATAACAAATCCTGACCTCTGCACCAAGATGAATTCCTTAAACTCAGTTAAGCAGCAATTGATGTCATCACACACATTTCTTTGACGTCCTTATCTCTGACTTATAACAACAACTTAATTTCTCTTCTAAATGCATGCTAGAACACAATTATCTCCTTAAAATAAGAAATAATCCTCTTGTTAAAGAAGGCCCTATTGTGCTATTGGGGGTTTTCCCTTTACTGGTGAGTGTGCGAAAAAGCACACGTCCGTTCGTCCGGGACGTGTTATTTACAATATCGGACAAGTAGGCTACATATTTCCATTGACTTGTCCGATGGACAAGTGACGTTTTTCGCCCATATTTATTAACAAATTATTGATAAATTCAGCTTACAAAAGGCAGAACTCATTCGCAAATTGTCCGTGTCCCCGCGGACCGCAGCTCTCTCTCTCTCTATTTTCCGGATCAGCTGATCTGTGTCCTCGCACTGTCCTCACAACCCCGGACCCCCAGACTCGGAGGAGCACAGGGATGTCAGTATTGTTTATTTATTGTTTTAAATTGAAGTTGTCTGAAGTCCTTACCACCAGCTGCTCTTGCAGTAATAAGTAGTGTACCTTTCTTACTGTCCAAATGTGCACAATGTAGAGACTGCTTTTTCGTCTTTTGTTTTCTTAGTTATATTCTCTGTATTTTATATGTTTGTGTTATGTGTAACATTGCTGCCTTCTTGGCCAGGTCAGCATTGTAAATGAAATTGTATCTCAATGCTTTTTTATCTGGTTAAATAAAGGTTAAATAAATACAATAAATTATGAAGCAGGGTATAGAAAGTACATTATTGAAATTAAAATACTATTTAGGCCTATTTACTTTTACAAACAGTGAGCAGCTGGGCAGACTGTATGGTTGGACTCTGTCTCACAGGCAGGATGCAGTGTAACATCAGAGGAGACTGGGCCAGTTGTACATTCACCACTTAGAACTAACTAAACAATGCAGAGATTATTTTTATATAATTGTATTCAATAACCGTAACAACATTTTACGGTTGAAGTGATTTGTAAATAGGAATAGGCTACAGATTTGACTTAATGTTTTCATATATATATTTTTCTCCCAGTGAAATTGGCATGGGACTTATTTGTACCCTCTACAAGAACTGGAATCAAGAACTGAAAAGCATAACCGGAATCGAAAAGTATAACCGGAATCGTTAAAATCCAAAGATACCCAACTAGTGTTGTCACGATACCAACATTTTGGTTTCGATACCAATACCAAGTCAAGAATTGCGATTCCGATTCTTTTCTAAAAAAAGGGAAACAGTCTTAAATGTAATTATTGTGCTTTATTTCACACCAGAACCATAACCATAGCACAAACTTTTAAACAATGAGAACAATAAACTAAATAAATGACAATAATTCGTATTAAATAAAATTAAGCATCATCTCAAACAACTTTTTTGTTTTATAAAATATAATTTTGTTCATATTTTATTAACATGTACAGTAATATAAATAATTATTGACAAAATGTATATTGCAGATGTTAGCCGCATTGGAAAGTTAGCTAAACAGATAGCCATATTAGACAGTTATCATTGCCATTAATTGCCTCGTCAAACTACGAAAACGTTCGTTTGTCACAAAATAAATTACTCTTGTTTGACTTAGATTTGAGGGCATGGGCTTGATCATGATGTAATTATGTTATCTATCACATTCGCTAACCTGTCTGTCTTTAAATTCTTTAAACAGCTCTGGATGCCGGTCGGCGAGGTGCTTAGCCAAGTCTGATGTGTTGGCTCCCTTGGTTTGCAGGGATCTAAAACATTTCTCACAGACAGGCCTGGTGGTGTCCGTAGGCGTGCCCTCACTGTCAGAGATATAGCTAAAATACTTCCAAATTTCGCTTCTGGCGTCTTTTTTGTCAACAAGCCGAGGCGCAGCGGAAGTTGCACTCCCACTTGCAGCCATGCTTCTCGTTTTCTCACATGCTCTGGCAGCTAGAGCGTGGCCGCGTGCACGAGAGAGGGGAGGGACTTAGAGCGTGCTTGAGAGGGGCGGGACTGCAGGCACGGCTGCAGTGCACGCAGGGAGTGGAAGCAGAGCGCTGAACACACACGGCTCTTATTAAAACGGCGCTTTCTCACCGGAGTACTTTTCCCCGTCATTCTTAAAGTACCGATACTAATGAAACGGAGGAATCGTACCGTTTTTAACGGCAGGGTATCGCGGTACCTTTCAAGTATCGGTACACCGTGCAACACTATACCCAACCATGGATCTATAATAAGAACCCAACCCTATGTGTGATGCTGTAAAATCGTACCGCTCACTTACGTTAGCGGTGTCGTAAAACCGTGGGAAAATGTAAAATACGATGGCGAAGAAGAAGATTCCAGTGGCCCCAATGTTTCACTTGTCCAGATTGGACAAGTGAAAAATTCATTCGGACAAGTACTCTCTAAAAACTTGTTCTTACACTGTGTGTTATGTAGGCTTTTGTGCATGTAAAAGACACTTGTTGATAAAAGCATTGAAAAACTGTAAAAGCCATGTTAAAGGTCCCATGTCATGGCCATTTCTACTGATCATAATTCCATTGTTGAGGTCTACTAGAATAGATTTAAATCGTGCAATGTTCCAAAATGACATTGGTTTCTCATACAGCATCTCTGTATAGTATGTGTATTCACTCTCTGTCCTACACCGCTTGTTGGAGCTCCTGCCCCCCTTCCTATAAGCCCACTGTGCTCTGATTGGTCAGCTCTCCCACTCTGTTCCGATGAGTACACCACCGTTACAGCGGAACATCAGTGATTATGTGTTATAATGGCATTAGCAACCAGAAAATGACACCAGTAATGACAAACAGATGAGAATGCTGCGTGGGGTCTGGGTGCCGTGGCGGGTCGTTGCGCGGCTCGCTGCTGTGAGGAGCGGACAGTGTGAGCTGGATTACTGGTGTCGTTTCCTGGTTGCTGCGTGGGGTCTGCGAGACAGCGAGACATCGTGAAACTCAGCCTGAACTCAGCCTGAGCGACATGGACGTGGGAATGGGGGGTGTTGAGGGGGCTGCAGCACCCCCATCTGCGAGGCTCCACCCGCACCCCCAAACGCGGCACACCTACAGTGTAAGCGCGCCACATTTTCGCCGTTGCGAGGCTCCACTAGCACCACCCCCCCCAGCGCGTCACAGTTTCGCCGCTGAGAGAGTGTGTGCGTGTGAGGAGCTCCACGGATTGGTCCATTTGGACCAATTGGTCCATTGGGTCGTCGTTACGTCACTTGCGTTCTGGGGCAGCATAGACAGGTATTTTCTGTGTTCGAGTTTTACTCGCTACAGGGTGTACTTTGAGGGTTTGTGACTCTGCAGACCGTTTACATGCATAAAAAGCTACATAACACACAAGTTGACGGGTAATAACCGGAAAAGCATGACACGGGACCTTTAATACAAGACTTTAATTGGCTCAGGGTTAGATCATGAAAACAAAAATGTCGACATTCAACATAACTATTGCACATATTTCAGTCATGTAAATACAGTAGATATCAGTACAAACTAAATGCATGAACGCTTTACATTATTACATTGTTTTTTTGAATGAGGTATACTGATGCATTCAGTTTATAATACAAATGTTGAACTTAGCTCTTTATTCTTATTTTAAGAGATTTATTTTGTTCTAGATTTATGTGCTGCTTTATTTAGCTAGAAGGCCTGATGTGCAACTCAGTCTGACCTTTGACCCATGAAAAGAGAAAAAAAGGTCTGCCATGGTTGTTTATAACTCTAAATATATTGGTGTTTATTAGTTTAAAAACAAGAAACAACTAAAGAAAAGGCTTTATTTGTTAACTAAAAACAAGTGTTTTGTCTTCAGAAGGAGCAGATGACTTATATTCTGTGGATATACAGTGATTTTAATTACAATAAACAATAAAGAAATCAAAGAGCAGCACAGGATACTAGGATAGACACTATCTAGTCTTATTGATTTAGATGTAATAGATAGATGGTGTCTATCCTAGTTTTCAAGTACTGCTTTGTATGCAGTGTCTTCATGTTCAGTGGTTTTTGAGTAGCTTTTTTAACGTCATCAATGAGTGAACAATGTGAAGATATCATAGGAATAGAACATACATTCAAGATAAAGGAGTAATAATTGCTCCAAGTTGTTTGTGGGGATGTGATAGTTCAGACATTCATGGGTTCTCCCAGCTCAAGCAGCTCGAGTCTCACAGTGGGCCATTTGTGTTTGATTTTCAGCAGTCAGTCTACAAGGCCGTTGAGAGACACACTTCACCCAACTGATACTGAGTCGTAGTTTGCGACAAACACTTTTCGTCCTGGCCTTTGAAGTTGAGCTTGTGAAATTCACTTGTGATGGCTGACAGAGACTTCCCCTTTGTCTCAGGCAGGAAGAGGCCGACAAACAGCGCAGACAGCAGGCAGACGGCTCCGAAAGGCACAAAGCAGAACTCGCTCAACTCACTCTGTAAAAGAAAGTAGCAGAGAGCCATCAGACTGATGTGAAGATATATCAATGACTACTGAAATGTCTGATGGTGTGCTACAATTTGAAACAAGTTTGCCTGTTCTTTTGTTGTTTATGTATTCAATTACAAAACATTATATTATTGGGAATGTTTGAACTAAAAGCTTAACTTCAAATTCCATAAAGCCTCAGTTTTAGACTATGAACTCTGGGTGGCGCTATAAGATGCCTTTTGTTATTTATAAGAAGTTAATCATTGGGCATTTTACACTGCTTGTAGTCTTAAGTCACTTAATCATTAGATAAATCAACCCCCCCCCCCCCCCCCATCTCAAGAAAGGCGATTGAAGAGGTTATGTTTCATTTAATTCTATAATAAATAGATTAACCATAAACCCTTTTTTTCTTTAAGCATGTTTGCTTGTTATTTTATATGGAAGTTATAATTACATTTGGTCTGACAATGACAATATTACAAAATGATATTAAAAAAAACAATGAAGCATTCAATTTAAAGGAAACAACCAATAAATAATTCACCAAAAAAGGACTAGACTGAAAGTACAGCATACAATATCTTAATAATCTTTCACTACTAGGTGTTATGTGTTTACCACCTTCTTTGCTCATTTTCATTTAATCATTTTTTTATTTGTTAATTGACCTACACACTCATCGTCTATCACATTCCAGCAGTAAACTCCTTTGACAGATATTGTTTATGTAAATATAGTAGAGTTGGAGATGGGAAACAAACAAGGAGCATGTTTAAAATAATGCTTTAATTTTCTCTTTTGATAATGTTGCACTCTACTTTTTAATTTCCTCAACGTGTGCATATGCATTTATTGTCTTTACATGTGATGTGGATGTGAAGTGACAGACTGACCATTATAAAGGGAAAGATCATCCCCATGATGAAGAGGTTGAGCCACATCATGGAGCCCGCGATCATGTAGGCGGCCGGCCGAGCCGTCTGATCGAAGAGCTCCGTCGGCAGAATGCCAGTCACTCCAGCTAAGGAAAAACAAAAACATATAGAACAGAGCTTCATACCACCTATATATTATTAACAGTATAAATATAATCTGTCTTTTATAGCCTGACCCGTACTGGTTTTTGATAACACATAATAGTGATAAGTTGCTTCATTACAGTAGAACTCGAAATTGTCATTAAAGAAAACATTTGTATTCAAAACATAATATGGACATTTCTTATATAGTATTAGTAGTTAATTTATTTATCTGGAAGGCTGTGATTATTTTAATTTCATGAATGCATCTTGATGTGAAATTGTATTTATTTATTTGTTTATTCCACACATGGCAGTTATTTTAAAACAAAACATGTACAACTTTACAAAACATGTACACTTATACTGGTTTATTTTTATAGCGCATGATGGAAAGGAGCTGGGAGAAGAACATCTTATTTTACCTATCCCTTCTTACAACAAAATAACAACAAAAAGAAAATGAAATAACAATTAAAAAGTCAAATAAAAGCAATATTCTTTCAGTCGCTTACAAATACTGAAACATAAAACCTGAAGACAATCAAAAGTCAATTTCATACTTTCTAATTGTGTTTGTATGTTTTAGATTTTACCATAGTATATAAAAAAAGGCTTCAAACAGACCTGGTCCCATGCCAAAGCTGAGGATGTATGTGAATATGCAGGCCATGCTCAGGTACGGCATCCAGGATGTATAGTGCTGTTTGCATGTGTACAGAAAAGAGAAAAATAAACAGTGAGACTCTCAGAAAAAGAAACCAGATCCCTTTCAAATTTCATAAATTAATGATAGACTTGTGATGCTCAGTTCACTGCCGAAACCTCATATAATAATCACAACTATGAATTAGCATTGGACTAGTATAACATATAGGTTATGTGGGTAGGTTAAGTGATGTTAAATACCTCAAATGACAGAGCAATTGTGAAGACCACAGCCCAGATGGTCATGAAGATGTAACCTCCCATCAGCATGAACCTCCGACCTTTACGCTCAATCAGCAGGTTCTGAAAAACATCAAAGAATGGACATCACTCTGCCATTCACATACAAAATAAATCATATTTAAGATTTTAAAACACTAAAAAACACTTATTCAGCAACCAATGAACTTTTGGAAGAACATACATAACATTCATCTGTTTGCAACTCATATATCAATATTCCAATTACTGTATATAGACTATTCTGCACTGTTTCTATTATATTATATTTGATTTACTTGAACTATTTCATCTGTGTTATTGTGTTGCACTGTTGGAGGAGCCTGTGACCAGAGATTTTCATCGTCATAAATACACTCAAGCTATGTACGAATGACAATAAAAGCCTTCAATCTTGAAAAAAATAATCATACTTTAATAAATATATAATACTAACGCATGGCAAACATTGTCTGCATATTAGAATACATATTTGTTTCTTGCTTGTGTAATTTATGAAAGTATGGTAACTTTTGCAGGAAAAACATAGAAGATGCTTGTCAGTTTTTATGTGATGATTTATATGATGAATTGGAAATGGGGGACCCTGATGTAAACCCTGATGTAAACAAGACGAAAGTCTTTCTCTGGTCTGCATCCCCTTAACAATTGTATGTTTTGAGCTGTACTGTACTGTACCCAATATACAAGCTGTTAATAAACTTTTCAATCAATCAATCAATGTAATTCCGGTACAAATCATTATTCACTAGACACTGCTTTTATTTATTGAACGAGTATTTATATATATTAGACCAGTGGTTCTCAACCTGTGGTACCACTGGTGGTACGCCAGCTCCCGCTAGTGGTACGCGGGGGAATATAAAATATAAAAAATATCTATCTTTTAAAAAAAAAAAGTATTTAACCTTTATTTAACCAGATGAAAACATTGAGACAAAATCTCATTTACAATGCTGACCTGGCCAAGAAGGCAGCAACTTTACACGTTCTTACCATATACCATATTTACCATACTTGTTTGATTTACAACTTTTTTTAAGCACAGTTAGTATATGTTTATAAAACGGACAAGCCAAACCAAGCAATCTGATGTTTCTTAGCCGTGATATAATGAGCGTATATCCAGGGAATAGTTGTTGTTACTTTTCACAAATCAGTATCCCTCCGCGTCTGAGAACCGTTACAACTGTTACATTACGTCCGTCACGAAACTAACTAACTAACTAACTAACTAACAAAGCTTAAGATGGAAATATTTAAGGTTAACTTCGACCTCCGGGGTGGCCTTACTATGGAGTGGATTGAGAAGTGCCTATCTCCAGAAAAAAAAGCACCTAAACGACGACATTCGCTATCTGTTATTGTTGTTGCATAGCAACCACCTCGCACTATGTTCTGTGCAGAAGGCAACGGAGGGACGATTTTATTTTATTCCCGGGCTGATTTTTAGTCCCAGTCAGCCACTGAACGTAGCTATTATGTAAGGTAGTTGTAAATCAAACAAGTGCAGTACATGCTATGTTATAAAGCCGTGGAGGGCGGGAGTTTATAAACCAAAGAGTAACCGCCCTTACGGGACGCTGTAATAAGTAAAGCGAACGCACCCGCAAGGACACCTGGCCTCCTATTGGTTGAGGGATTTTGACAGGATTGTTGCACAAAAGTTTCGAGCGCGCACAGAATAAATCTGAGAGCAGAACAAATCTGTAATCAGCAATATATCTGAGTGCAAGCGTACAGTTTGAGCAGAAGCAGAGCACATCTAAGTGCAAGCAGGCACTATTTGAGTGCGAGGACAGGGTTTGAGGGAAATAAATCAATAAAGTATGCTCACAAATTTAAATACCACGCTCTTGAATAAAGATAGGGAATAACCCCCATACCCATACAGCTGCGGGAGATGCAGTTTACGCCTCCCCCTCCGCAGGCGTAACGTATTTACGTATTTTGAAACTGACACTTGATTCGATTGGCTCTAACGATTCAAAAAAGGTGTCAATCACCCAAATCGACCAATGGGTTTCAGAGATAGGATCTTGCGTAAGTATAAATAAAGGCAATATAGCGCACACGCACACGCCCACTCTTTTTACGCAGCATAGCGTAGCATAGCATAGCATGTCATAGCATAGCATAGCATGTCATAGCATGTCCCGCGGCTACAGGAGAGCAGAGAACGGCAGATCGATCAGCGAAACAGCAGGATTTGTTTTCTTTGTCTTCATTGTAACAATGGCAGCCAGAAAGAATACTTTTTTGTCCGTCAAGGAGGCATTGGACATCGTATTTCAGGACTCTCCGTCGGAAGATAGTGATCTCGTCACGCATAAAGGGTAATGACTCTGATGTCTATAAGCTTCTGCAGTGAGGTTCATGGCTGGTGAGGCACTGGCACTGACTCTTCAGGTTTACAAATATTATATTTTGACCTAAATCAAAATATAATATTATTTTGCTTCAATTAATTTTAAACAGACAGTTCAACAGAAGGATACCCAAAAAATGTAATTTTATCATTTAAATATTGAATTGTTCTCTCTTAGTAAGATCCCATTTTCAATAAAATTGCAGTCTTACCTTGACTTGTAGTTTCAAAAGTATATCATAAATCTAATCTAATCAATAGATTTATGATTCGAAAATTATAAAAGTAGGGTAGACATGTGGATATTATCCGGCTGAACAAAACGTGCATTTATCTAACAGGTTTGTTTCCCACAGATCTTATTTGGAGCTATTTTCTAAAATCCTATGGAGAAATCTCATTGCTTTTTTGTCGAGGGAAGCCATGCGCAGCTTACTTCCGGGTTTTAGGACGCGTCACTGCAGCTCTCCTCTTCACACACCATACTTTTCGCGGCACACGTACTTACAGCCAATCAGCTCTGAATTATGTGAGATGACGTATGGTGGGGATGGCAGCTCTATGCCCCTATGGTCATTATTTTTTTGCCACACACATTAAATAGGAAAATATTCTGAGCATGCGCAGTGTAGTTTTTACAGTCACCATTGACTTAGACCAGGGGTGCCCAACCTTTTTTGAACCGAGAGCTACTTTTAAAGTTGCCAGTCTGCCGAGATCTACCAGTCCAAATAGAGAGGCGTAGCCATTACTGACAGCCTACTACCAGGTAAATACACACTTCTACCTGTATAAAACTGACCTTTGTACGATGAATACTTCATAAAATACTGCAGATCCTTTATCTTACCTCTTTCTAATCTACACACATACAAGTATTTAACTGAAGTTACACAACAGTGTTGTTGATACAGAGTTGGAGTTTATTCACACGTCACATACTACAGTGGGTAATGTTTTCAAGAAACATTGAACAGTGCTGCCACATATGACACAGGGAAAAAAGAAAAGACTCGAACCCTTTCTTTGCCATTATATAAAAATAGTGTTGCTACAAAAGTATAAATGAGGCTTACTAATAAGACAACTCAGATCTGAAGCTACACAGGAATCTGCTGCCAAAGTGCAATAAAAAAGACAAAATTAATAGAATCAAACCCTTTTTTGTTGCATTTTAGTAGAGTATAAAAAGAAACGCCTTTTAAAATAGGATGCAAGCAACACTAGTTTCTTAACCTGAATTGATAATAGACTATAATCAATGTAAACAGAACAGATCTTAATGTTTGCATTCTTATACCATGTTGTACAATAATTATAATGAATAAGTTCAAACAAACTCAAACTTACAGCTGATTAATAACGGTATCTAACTTGAGTTTTTATTATATCAAAAGCCTGTTGAAATGCTACTGTTATTTTTACTGTCCCCCAAAAGCGCATCGGCAGCCTCCAGGAAAGCTTCTTTCACAACTTCGCCGTCTTTGAAAGACTTCATGTGTTTCGCAAGAACGTGACTGACACGATAAGATGCTCTGGGAGCAGCCTTGCTCTTGTTGTTGGGCCTGGTGGAAATGGACTGCTGTGCATTTAGCTGTCCTTTCAGGCCCCTCCCCTTTTGGGAGCGTAGGGCAGAATTAGATGGGAATTCCGTCTCGTAGCGTTTGTGCACTGTTTTGAAATGCCGCTCCTAAATTACCTTTCTTCGATAAAGCCACGCTCGCATTGCAGATGAGACAGATGGACTTTGAATTGGAATAGATACAAAAATAATCATCCTCCCACTCGGAGTGAAAATTATATATTTTGGGCTTTTTTGCTTCTGCCGTAATTGCGGTCTTGTGTGTGTGCGGACTGTCACTCCTGTTGACACGGACAACGTCAGCGAAATAGTGCCAACTGCCCACCAGCCACGCCCCGACACATGGGGTCACGCCGGCCAATCACAAAGCTTTGATGCGTTCAAGTGCATTATTCTGGCACAGGAAGATTATGTTACAGGACATTAACGATAAAACAGAATGTTGTTGTTCTATTTTTAGAGACATCTCGCGATCGACTGGGAATCTCCCCGCGATCGACCGGTCGATCGCGATCGACTGGTTGGGCACCCCTGACTTAGACGGTAAGAGGGAGGGGCAGGATCGGGTTTTGTCCCACATGGCTCTAAACAGCTCAATAGGCACACACTGTAGACACTAATTAGAAGAACACAGACTAAAACAGCAATGTACAGACGAATCAGATGATTAAACATGCTTTTTTTGGTAATCATTATTTTGAATACTTTCTGATGACACTAGGTGGGGCTGTGCCACACCTGCCCCTAATGCAGGGTCGGCTCTAGAACAAATCAAATGGGGGGGCAATCATTTACCAAGGGGGGGCACATACTGCCGTCAACAACCAACACACAAACACCAACGCAACTTCAATTAAAAAAAACATGCTGTAAAGTGTATTGTCTTTCACACACATTGCAGGGTGTAGTGCTATTTTATAGCGCACCTATGACCTGTGCATACATGCACGGTTGTGGCACGACCACCAAAACAGAAACATATGGACATAGGCCACCATATGAAAAGTGTTTAGTATTTAGTATCCTATCCATGTGAACATGTTTTAGGTGGGGAGTAGACCTAACCTCCTCTAGGAGGGTCCGGGGGCATGCTCCCCCGGGAAGATTATTTTTAAAATATTGAAGTTAAATGCATCAATCTGGTGCACTTTGAGAGCAACATGAAGATCTATGGATACATCTCTCAACATCCATATGAAACAGAACTGTACACAGATTTACTTTTTCTTTATGGATATTTTACTAATCACTCCCCTTTCAACTGTATTCTTGTGTTACTGTCCTATAGTATTTCATACCCGTTTTTCATTTATTCTCTTATTCTTTAATGACTATAATGATCATATAAAGGTAGCCTATTCCTCGCAAATACTTGTTTACATAAATGGTCACCAAACCGTTTGAGACCCACTGAGATAACTTACACTAAAGTGAACTATCTAAACACTGAGAGTCCTTACCTCACTGAGCTGACGTTATAAGATCCTCTCAGTCTGACAGGAGAGGACTCTCCTCCACCTTGGTGTAGAAACAGCTCTTTATATCCGTTAGCATAGCTAGCTAACCAGATGCTAACAACAATATTCCACGTTACCGCTCGCGCACTGACAAAATGCGCTCGTGCCACACACAGAGAGCCGAGCTTGAATGAAACACAGAGACCCATGTACTTGTACTGTACTGTATATCATATTATTTTCGATGGC